GCCCTGATGTGCTTGTCCGTGTGTCTGCCCTGGGATGGGTCGTAGCCTGCTCTGTGCCCATTGCTAACGGTGATTTTTAAGACTGCTCTCCCCTGCGAATTTGAATTGGAAGAAGCGGTTCTGAAACGGACAGGTGGAACATAATATTTACATTACATTTGTCTGTGTCCGTATCCGGTTAATTTCTCCATCTGATGCATTGGTGCTCATTCAATATGAAACTTCATTTTCTCCCCACAGCAGAGAAACGCTTTAATGCACAAAGGGAGTACTACTTTTCTCCCCACCTCTCCCTCTCAGAATAGCGCAGTAACAGTAATTATTAACCTGCATTATGACCTCTGATTAATAATAAACAGTACACTCTCAATGTACTGTAGTATCTAGCTAGTCAGCGTCTCTCCCAGTTCAGTGTTAATGTATTGTACCGTCCAGTCAATGTCTGTATTAATTCCCTAAAAATGTACATTTTTAACGTACTGTAGGGTCTGCTCAGTCACTATTTCTGTTTTAACCCCTCTATTTCTCAGTGCAGTGCTGATATACTGTACGATCTACTTCGCCACTGCCTATATTAACCATTTACTCTCAGTGCAGTGCTGTTGTACTTGTAGTACAATATAGTATAGTGTCCAGTCAGTCACTGTGTCTGAATTAACCCCTCTCTCTCTTTGCAGTGATCATGCACTGTCGTATCCAGTCACTGTGTTTGTATAAACCCCTCTCATGGTTTATTTTGAATGTATTGTAACATCTAGTTGTTCACTGTCTGTATCAATACCTCACTCTTAGTGCAGTGTTAATGTACTTTAGTAATCAAGTCACTGTGTGTATTAACCCATCTATTTCTCAGTGCAGTGCTAATCCACTGTAGCACTTAATAATTTTATAAAGCACTCTCAATGCAGTGTTAATGTATTTTAGAGACCAGTCAGTCTGTATGTTTGTATTAAACTCTCTCTCAGTGCACTATTAATATACCTGTCTTCACTCAGTCTTTGTGTTTGTATTGATGCTTCTCTCTCTCAGTGCAGTGTTACAGTACAGAAGTTTTCAGTCACTGTCTGTATTAACCTCCCCCTCTCTCTCAGTGCAGTGTT